GAGAGAGAAAGAGAGACCCCAATCCACACGCACCTCCTCCTCCTTCTCTGGCTCCTCTCCTCCAGCAGAGCTGCTCCCTCCTCTGCAGCAGATCCTCTCCAGCAACTCCTCATCCTCCTCCTCTTCAGTACATCAGCAACCAGCAACAGGCAACAGCAAGGAGCCAACTACCAAAATATACCTCCCCCATCCTCTACTCCTCTCCCTCCCACTTCTCCCCCACCCTCCTCTGCTCTGTTTCTTCCATGTTCAGTTGTTCATTGCTTGCTGCTTTTCAGTTGTTCGTTGCTTCCTTCTTTGTTGGTTGCTCATTGTTTTGTGCTAGCTGCTTTGCTAGTTGCTCACTGCCTCTTTTATAGTGGTTAGTAGATGCCTGGATGGTTAGAATAATGCATGATTACTGGAGGAGAGAAAGTGCAAACGGGATGGATGCTATATGGGCTCTACAATCAGCAGCAAGCGCAAGATGTGTACTGTGTATGCCTAGTTGCCTACCAAATTCTGCTACTTAGAACTCTCTAAGGCGTCCGCCTTGCCTTGTGCCTTATCACTTAGGCGGTGAGGCGCCCCCCAGCGCCTTGCCTCGCCTTACCGCCTTAAAAACATTGGTGGTCACACTTCGTTCTATTTTGGGACTAACCTTAAAATGCATGATAGCAGAATTTTCTTTTCGTGTGGTTATGATTTCAGGAACCTTCTAGAACCCAAGAATTGCATGAAAAATCATTATATCATATGATGACAAAGGCATGTAGAAGAGGGTTGTGGGAAACGCAGGGGGCTCATGCCCCCCCCCCACACACACACACACACATGCGCGCGTGCATCTAGGGCCTGATGTGCTCTAAGGGATTCAGCGAAGAGAAAATGGGGTTTTTGATGTGTGATCTACAAGCAAGTTGACTAACTTGATGTTCCTCTTCACAAGCACAAAACTATCAAATGAAGTAGCATATGTTGTGGACAAGAGTACAAGTGTATGGTTGAACCCATGCGAAGGAGTAAAGACATGGTTTGTTTGGAGATCATTCGTCTTTGTGAAGCATTGAAGAATGCTTGTGTGCTTAGTCAGTACCTTGAACCATTGGCCCTGATCATGGATCGGCTGACTGTGCCAATGAATGGGAACGTGTGTGTTAAACAGCGAGACAACTAGTGGCCTTGATGGAAGCCATCAACGACATGAACATCGACGCCAAGGTGATGCTTGCATCTACCAAGGCCTGTTGTGAAGGCATAACACTTGTTGCTCACTGCGCGGCACTCATGGCGAGCAATCTTTAAATTATTCAATAACACTTTTGGTGCATCGCGAGTAGTTCTCCTCATTGTCCCGTGGAATTCTTTTGTCGGAAGGCAACGATTGGCCGAACCTGTAGAAGCATGTGCTGATCCAGTGGGAGGGCATGGCCCCCACAAAAAAATGCAAAATGCTTTTTTACTAGCGCATGCATATGCATGTATCCATTATATTAATTTTGGTGCAACCTAAATACTACAGAACTTCAACCCTTCATAATGTTGGCTTCACATAGGTCGAAATCTAGGTCCACCACTGCGGTTAGGAGAGGTGATTTTTTTAAGCAGGAAAACATATAGCAATATTGTACTTCCTCCAATCCAAAATAAGTGTCGTGGTTTTTGTTTAGATTTGAACTAAACCACGACACTTTTTTGGATCAGAGGAAGTGTAATATTAAGAACTTGCTCCATTCCATAATTTCATGTTGTAAAATAAAATTATCGGATAGGTAATTTTGGCCTCTATTCCTTTTGGTTACCATAGATATTTAAAATAAACTACATGTTCACAAACATGAAAAAATTTACCCTAGTTTTCATATATATCACCCTAAATCTATTCCTCTTTTGGATTAGGGAGGATGGGTAGTCCCAAGGGGTCTCGGGCTCTCTGCAAATGTGGAGCAAAATGATGGAGTCTTTCGCAAAATTGTCATAGCTTACCTCGCTATGCGTTGCCGATCAGAGGCACTATAGAAGTGGGATTTGTTAGTATCATGCAATCTCTCATGGTTTGCTTATAAATCATCGTCCTGCGCATTTACGAAATAGATGCAGAGTGCCTGACCATTGAGGGAACCAAAAAGAAATCGTGATTTTTTGTCTCAGGCACTAACTAAAAGTAGATGCAGAGTGTCCGACCATTGAAGGAACCAGAAACAAATCATGATTTTTTTTGTCGGATTTTATGCATGGCAACTCAAACGTTTTTTTATGGCAACTTCAATTGTGGTGTAATCTTTTTTTTTTTGAAGGAAGGCCATCATAGCTAGCTTCATTGAAACTTTAACTAGGAATTACATCATCCAAAAGTTTGGGAATAAGATAAGCCGGAGGCTCATTAACCCAACTACTGTTAATCTTATTACAGAAACTATGACTAGCTAGCACATGAGCTGCTTGGTTCGATGAACGATCACAATGCTTAAATGTAACCTTCCCAATAAGCGACGAAACGTCCACACACTCGGCGAAAATGGCAGCAGCAGCATCCCACCATCTGGTTTGGCCTGAGAAGTATTCAATAACTGTTGTCGAATCTGATTCTGCTTCTACTCTAGGGAAACCAAAAGAGTTTGCAAAAGCGAGACCGTTTCTCATTGCCAGAGTTTCAGAGGTGACCACATCTGATACATGTGTTAAGTATTTGCATTGGGCTGCTAAGAAGTTACCTTTCTCATCTTGAATGACTGCTGCCGTTGCTCCAGTACCTTCATCTACATGGAATGAGGCATCCACATTCAACTTCACAAATCTCGGATTGGGTTTCAGCCACCTTTTTTCATGGGTATCTCGACTCCTTTGGTTTGCTTGATGGAAGTTGTTTGCAATAGCCAGAACTGCCATGGGCCATCTCAAGGACTGCGGTGGGGATCCATTGTGACATCTAGGCTTGGCTTTAATGGAACCGGACGGTCATTCATCAATAGTAAGTATTCAAGCACGGCTGGACCAGATCGATCTACCCCCATGGCCTCTTCGACAATTTCAAGAATCCCCAGGCTACCCCCAGGCTAGGCACGACAGCTTCTTATTTCTTGGTGGTAAGATTGAGTTTCGAGTCACATCTCGGATATGGAAACAATTGTAAACAAGAACATCTCGATCATCCTATCACAGTTATCAAAGACTGATTTTACTCCACATGATAGATGTTTCGCCATTACAAACCGCTCAGCAGTTCAACTATTTAAAGGTAGCAGACATTCAAGACCAGGGCATCACTCAAAAACAAAACCAGTAGCATTTCTGTAAGAGGGGTAACTAAATGGGACGACAATAATGTTTTCCAGATCGACAGATCCCAGTACCAAGAATCCAGCAGCAACAAGTGGGTGAACAAATATTCTAGATCTTGTTGAAGGCAACGATGTCACACGACTGGACATACTCGTTGATGGGCGTCTCGCAGAGCACTTCCTCAATAAGAGTGTCGACAGACACGAGGTCGTCAATGATCGTCAGCATGATCTGGAGCTTCTTGATGCCATAACCCACGGGCATAAGCTTAGCTGCGAGAGTGAAAGCATTATGTTAACTTTCTCAAACTGTTGCATCAGTGAGGTATGATAAGAGATATATACTATATGAAAAGAAATGAGTTCCTTACATGCACCCCAGGTGAGACCCTCCATTTGAACACTGCGGACAGCCTCCTCCAACTTCTTCATGTCAGTCTCATCGTCCCATGGCTTGATGTCCATGAGGACAGAGGATTTGCCACCTAAATAAGCTTGGAGTTAGCACAAACTGGAAAATGAAAATGTATGCCAGACTAGGTGAATGCTGCAGAATAGTTGCCTAGAACTCCGCAGAAAATTTAAGCATACAGCACTAGAAGAGCTTACTTTCTTTCTTCTTTGCAGGCTTGGCAGCCTCACGCTCAGCTGCAGCTTTCTTGTCCTCCTCGGTCTCATCGCCAAACAGATCCATGTCATCATCGTCGTCTTCATCCTGCAAGAAGGTCAAACGCACAATGCAGAGCAATAATTATATTCGAATTCAAATGAGGCCTATGAAGATTGACATAAATGTAACTGAGATAGTACTTCAGCAAACATTCATTAATGTGAAGCATTCAGAGCTTGGCATACACACAGTTCTAATTACTAAAAGAACGATTATCATTCCCTCAAAACTACAATTTGGAGTTCTAGCACATGCTGCAGTCACTATAGAACTTATTATAGTAACAATAAAGCCTTCAAAGGGCAAATAAAAGCACCGATTGCTCAAACTCTCAAAGTAGTAATTGACACAACAAACATGGACAAGCAGGAGCAAACCTTGGAAGCGGCAGGAGCAGCTGCAGCAGGAGCCGATGATGCACTCACCCCAGAGGACTGGCCAGGGAACCTGCATAGTCAGCAAAGGCATTAAGAAACCATGCATGTAATTACACCATTCGATAGGCCAGATTAATCTGCCATGCTAAGTGACAGCATACTAAGATAGAACAGCACATACTACACTTCGTACCTTGAAGCAACAGCCGCGGCGACGGTGTCATACCAGCGGGCAGCGTTCGGGAACTCGGCGCTGGGCTTCACGGGCACCGCCGCGAACACCTTGACGTCGTCCTTGGTGATCCCATCGCTGCAGAAGCATCACAAAAACCACTCATAAGCAAACACAGCCGCATCCAGCCAGATAAATCACCAGATTTGCAAAATTCGGAACTAAGGAGAAGAGATCCCATGTTGTAGGCAATCAAATATCGCAGCGCAGATCAGTTCAAACCTAGCTAATCCAACTGCAGACCACTACGAACTAGCAGATCTGATAGAGTACAGCGAGTGAGTAGGGTAGGCGACTGTGCTCACCCGGAGATGTAGGTCTTGCCGGCGAGGTGCGCCTCGAGGGCCTTGAGCCCGTCGGCGGTGTGGAGGTCGGAGAACGTGACGGCCATCGGATCCGGCGAGCTCGGGGGCTTGTCGAATTCGCTGGGGGGCGGCGGCGGCGGCGCTGGAGGCTAAAATCCCAAAACCCTAGCGAGACCGAGAGGGGAATGCGGGGTAGCCAGGGCCGGCTATTTATATCTGGCGGCCGCGCCGGTGGGTCCCACGTCGCGCACGCCCGTGCGATCTGGCATCTACGGTGGGGATATTCCCTGGGAAAGCTACACGGGCATCCTGGCCGCTCGATCGGATCTCTCGCCGTTGGACGGTTCAGATTCGATCGTGCCACTGGATAGAGCCCTCTGCTCCTTGCTCAGCTCCCTCGTCGTCTTCTCCGGCGAGCTCCCATGGTATCGCTCGCTGCCCCGGCCTTCCACTCGCTGGCCTCGCAAGCCTCCAGGGCCTGCACCACGAGGGCGTATTCGCAATGCGAGAGCGCGCCCGGCCGCCGTGGAGCGAAGGCGCGGCCTCGGGCGGCGGGGACTGAGCAGGCGGCGGCGGTGGAGGCGGAGGAGACGCCGAGGTTCAGCTGGGATGAGCTCGGGTCCGACCTGTCCGAGCCCCAGGAGCAGGCGATGCGCGGCCTGTCCCCCAAGCTGCCCAACCGATGCAGGGCGCTGATGCCGCGCGTCGTGTCGCTGTCCCCCGGCGATGAGAATCTCGGCGTGGTCCTTGCGTTCTGGGTGAAGGCCATGAAGCCCAAGAGGGCGGACTGGTTGCTGGTCCTCAAGGAGCTCAAGGCTATGGAGAGCCCGCTTCTCGCTGAGGTCAGTGGGCATTATTTTTCCCCCAAATCTCGTTGATGAATCTTTGGAGCAAATGGAAATTACATGGTGCGTTTGCTGGACTGTGGTTAGGGGTGGTTGCTCAAGTACTAGAATCACCTAGGGAGTGATCATTTTTCATGATTATGAAGCAGTTGAATTAGCTACTTACTTGAGAACGTGAAATGTCCTCTGCTTGTTGCTGCACTAGGTTGAAATCGTTGTTATTTTTCGGCACCACCATTGCCTGAGTGAGATTTCATTTGCTTGGAGAATGAACATGGTCTTAGTTTACTCACATCTTCTTTAGGGAATTTTGAGTTTAGAATTTTATGCACTTCTGATCTGAACTCCTTACTGAACATTGAATTAGAAATGGCTGAACTTCTGAATTGCGTCAATGGTGAATGTTCGCATTAATTTTATCGGCAATGTGACCTTACGAATGGACTGTGTGTTGGCTAGGTACTAGAATATGCACTGCTGGAGGATTCTTTCGAAGCGAATGTGCGCGACTACACCAAGTTGATGCAAATCTACGGCAAGCAAAATCTGTTGCGGGAAGCCGAGGAAGCATTCCAGGCCATGAAAGCCAGAGGTCTCCCATGTGATCAGGTCATGCTGACTGCACTGGTGGACATGTACAGCAAGGCCGGGGATCTCACCCGCGCAAATGAAACATTCGAAGAGATCGTGTTGCTGGGCCTACCGCTCGATAAGCGCGCGTACGGTTCGATGATCATGGCCTACATCAGAGCAGACATGCTAGACCAAGCAGAAGATCTGATCAAACAGACGGAGGATCAGCAGGTCTTCGCAGGAAAAGAGGTCTACAAGGCTCTGCTTAGAGCATACTCGTACAAAGGCGATTCAGAGGGGGCGCAGCGGGTTTTCGACGCGGTACAGTTCGCGGGGACGGTGCCGGACACGAAGCTGTGCGCGCTCCTGGTGAACGCGTACTGCCTCTCCAATAGGATCGACGAGGCTGTCTGTGTGACCCGAAACATGAGGAGTGTGGGACTGGAACCGTGCGACAGGTGTGTCACCTTGATACTCGGCGCGTACGACAAGGCCAACAAGCTGGAAGGAGCATTGGAGTTTCTGGCGGAGCTTGAAGAGAATGGTGTCGTGATCGGTCAAGAGCCATCGCAGTTGCTTGCGGCATGGTTCGGGAGGCTCGGGGTGGTTCATGAAGTGGAGCAGGTCCTGGAGGAAGTGAGTAAGAGTAGCAAGAGCAAGCAGAGTGTTTCACTCCTGAAGGAAGGGACGAAGAGTTGGAAGAGCAAAGACAGGGTCAAGAAGGAATGGAGAAAAGGCAAAAAGAGCAAACACAGCATTTCAGTACACCAGCAACCCAGCATTTCAGTCCAGACGAAAGGGGCAACCAACAGGAATAGCAAAATCACTCGGTCCATTACCTCTGCAACTGAAGTGATTTTGTAACTCCAGTGCCATTTGCGTTCATATTATGACAATATGTTTTCAGAAATCACATGCACAATCATGAGGAACCCCTAATCACAAGAGGCAGGATGCCAGGATCTATGTGAGTAAGTGTATGTAACTGAAACTCTAGTGCAGAAGAGAAATAAGATTCCACAAAACCAGGCAACAGTAATGCCAACGTAACATCTCTCTGAAAAAAAATGTCAACTTAACATTAATACATCTTGTTCATGATATGAAAAGCAGGGCTCCTCAATTCATGCTCTTCTAGATTATAGACCTCAAAATGTGTCCCAGTGCAGAGAGAAACAACTTCGAAATAAGATTCTTGGGGCTCCTCTTGTTCGCCGTCGTCATTGGCTGCCATCTCTTGATCTTGGGGCTCCTCTAGCTTGTGCTTCTTTTTATTTTCCTTCTTCTCTGTCTCAGGTTCAGCTTCTGCTGCGGCCGTATTGGCAGACTTATCAAGATCCATGGCGTCACCATCAGCCTCAGATTTGGACTTCTTTTTCTTACTTTTCTTGGCAGACATGTCACTGTTCTCCTTCTCCTTCTCCTTGTCTGCGGAAGAGGGCAAGGTGTAAATTTACACATGTACAGAAAGACTTGAAATTAAGTGATTGAGAGACCAATATATAAAGAGAAGTACCCTTACCCTCCTCTGAGACTGTGTTGGTCATACCCTCAATTGCAGCTTTCATTACATCAAGGTTCTTGCGTGGTGCAACACCCTTGTCATGAAAGTCTAATCTCTCCTCGACTTGTTCACGCAGTTTCTCACTGAAAATGGAGCTACTCATCTCTGGAATTCATAACCCAGTGAGGAAAACAAACAAAAAGGCAGTCAGGATGTTTAACCTTTGCAGACAAAGTCCTTCAACTAACCTCAATAACAGTCAATGCGTGAAGCAATTGAGCATTTGTTTGCCAGGTATCTAGCCATTCTTCCCTTGTTCTTGGTCGATGAGTGGAATATGGAAATATAATAATACAAATATTAGTGTCTCTAGGGTATATTTCCCATCTAAAAAAAAGGGTATATTTCCAACAGTTTTTTCTTATTTTTCAATTCTAAACATAATTATACATATGTATGTTTTTTTGGTTCTCTCCAAGAAAAAATAAAAACCTCTTCCTTTTTCCTTTTTGTGTGGGTTGTGATTTTTTCCCTTTCCTTTTTCTTTTTTGCTATTTTTTTCTTTTCCTCGTTATCATTTTAAATATTTACGAACATTTTGAACTCAAATATTTTTTTGTTGTAAGTTGCATGTCCATCACCAAACACGTGAATGCAAGTATCACCCACGCCTCAAAACTGCATGTTTTCAAAGCGGACGTAACTTGGGAGGCGGAAATGGGTAGTTGCATGTCTCCTACTAGACGCTACCTCTGACATGCAACTAGATCTGACCCATTTTTCGTCTCGGTTGCAAATTCACCCTCGCCACGCAACTGAGGGAGGGGGAGGAGGGCGACTCTTTTTTTTCGTCTCAATTGCAAGTCCACCCCAGGATGCAACTGGGCTCGCCTCTTTTGTTCTCCTAGTTGTGATTCCATCTGTCATACGCAACTGGGGATGACCTATTATTTGTCCCAGTTACAAGTCCACCCCCGACCCCTTTTGTCCCCAATTGTAAGTCGACATCCGGCATGCAACTAGGCCTTGTCCCTTCTTTGTCCCTATGCAACTAGACTGTTGACTAGTCACATGTCCATAATTTAAAAACAGTCATGAATTTTTTTTTATTTTAAAAAAATCATGAACATTTTCTTAAAATTGTGAACTTTTTAAAATGGCGACTTCGTCACATTTGTGATTTGAAAAAAATCATGATTTTTTTCGAATTCTCTCAAATTCACAAATATTTTTAAGTTCATGCATAATTTTTATTGCGTGGAAATTTTTTACATGCGTGAACATTTTCTAAATTTATTAGCATTTTTAATACTCACACACATTTTTTTTGTATCCATGAACAATTTTAAAATTTACAAACACTTTTTCTATTCATGAACTTTTTTTATGCGCATACATTTCAAATCAACAAACATTTTTTTAATTTGTTATTTTAGATTTCCTTTTGTATAGTTCTTGTTTATCACGTATGGTTGTTCCTATCTTTCCCTACTAATAAACCAGCGATCGCTTCTGGTCGTACGTCGCTGACGTTTTTTCAGAAAAGCCTCTATGCTTTTGCGTATTAAACCCGCAGTACTATTTTAAGTGAATCTGATAAAATCGTTTTCACAAAAAACACCCTGCATCTGCCGGTGCCCGCCGCCGCCGACCGCACCCAACACCTCCATGCGCGGGCTCGCGCTCGTGCCTCCCCGCCGCCCCGCGCCGCCGACGGAAGAGCGTGCCGCCATGCCCTCTCTCCTTATTCCCTCCCCTTTCTCCGGTTCTATTTCTCACCTCCCTCTTTCTCTTTTACAGGAGGCGGAAGCCATGGCCGCCGGACCGCCGCCCCGCGTCGGCCGGCCATCGGAGCGCCGCTGCCGGACCAACGCGCCGCCCTTCCCTCCTCTCCTTCTCCCCCTCCCTCCGGTTCTATCTCTCACCTCCCTCTCTCTCTCCTTTGCAGGAAGCCACGGCCGCCGGACCTCCATGCCTCCGCGAGCTCACGGCCGGCCTATGACCTCTACGCTGCCTCCAGTCCTCTCCGGACACCTCCTTGTATTCTTCTCATTCTCCGACGCTGCCAAGTTCGCCCGAGGAAGAAGCGCCGAGTTTGCCGGAGGAACAAGAACATCCGTCCAATGTCGCCTGAGCTACACCAGAGGTATGTATCCCCTTGATATTCACTGGATGGAATCCCCTGTTTACATCCAAAGGTACTAAGTTTGTGCAATTCAGAATATTGATGGTCAAGATATCCCCAAATAACAGTTATGCCTATTAGTCTTAGAGGATTTTCTGTCCAAGCAGATTTATGTTTTGCAAGAATTAGTCTACTTATTACAGGTAGAACCAGTTTTTCGTCACAACATGAATTTCCTGATGATATCCGTAGTGTGCTCATTTGCTTGATTTGGTCAAGTAGAGCAAGCTTTACAAATTTCAGAATTCAGTTAATGGAATAAGTTAGAATTATGGTTCCTTTTCAGTGGGCAGTGGGCATCATATATTTTGTATTATGTTGTTGCAAAGTAGTATAGTTTAATTATATGGTTTTACCACTAGCTCTATAAAGATATCATCCATGGTCCCTGCTTGTATTGCATTGCATACATAACACTATTTGTTTGCTAGCTTGACTGAACTTTAGCCGCTGCTCCTACGATGGCCAAAGTATAGGTTGCAGCTCGATCTGGGACTTGCAGTAGGAAAGCAAGCCACGATTTCTTCTTAGGGAAGTGAGTTGTATCCTTGCCGAAATGTACATCTCGATTCCAGTTTTATTGGACTATTCAAGTGTCAACTCTTCGCATGGATATATTCATATTTGATCTGTTGGGTTTGTAAAAACTTTATTAACAAATAGCTGTGGTTGCTGTGCAAATGGAAATTGTTAGGCTCTTTTACGCTGTAGGAATTTCTGACATGAGCTTGGCCTCATGGAAAAATCATTCGTACTGCAGACATCTCTACCCTTGAAAGCTAATCACTGGAAAGAATCATTTCTTCAGTTATTAATTAGCTTTGCAGTGGCATACACATGAATAGATATCTCAGCGTGTACTACAAACAACTTATGTTGGATATGTGTGCTTTTCAATATTTATTTGAAGTGTAACAAGCCTCTCCCAGTTGGATCTATTCTGAACATATGAGTTTATCTCCTGAACCCATGTTTACTTCCTGAACATAGAGTAGCAAAACTGAAAGTATATATATAGCTTATGTGTACTGTACTTTCAGTAATATGGATGCCAATATCATTACTTTTTTCCGTTAGGGGGTGGTGGGGATTCACTTTGGTATAAATCTGATTGATAGTTACTGCTCTGGTCTTTATTTTTTTGCATAAGTCTACTTAGAGTAGCAGTGATCATACGTGTTTGCTTATCTGTTACGAAGCTTCGTATTACATCAGAGTTAAGGTAAACTCAAGTATAGCGTTTCTGGAATAACATAATTGTGTTAGCATGGAAGGATGAGTACTCTGAAGAAAATAGGATGAGGCTATAACTAAGAAACATCAGGCCGAGATTAACATTATATTGCTGTAAAGGACAAAGGGTTTGCTGCTATACCATCGTATTTTCTGCCATGGGTGGCTTCAGAGATGTTGTGTTCTGTGTCATGGGTTACTTTTTCTTTCCCATAAAGTATTTTTTAGTTGCATGTATATATCACATTGCCAATATTTGCATGTGTGAGTTGAATGATGCACTTGGTAGGATCAAAAGGTTCAAAACTTCTGCATGTGTTGCTGCAACATAGCATTAATTTCTCCTAGAGAAACCGTAAAATCGAACAATTCCTAGCATTACATCATGGGCAGACTAATAGTTTTCCACGTTTTGTCAACGTGACAAGAACTGGATGCTATATGATAAAGAGTCATGTTCTTAAAGAGGGTATTTTCTCTCTTAGGGGTTGCTTTGCTTACCTGTAGGATTTTCATCTTTTTGTCTTTTTAGTTAGTGAAATAATCTAAGGCAATTTGGCATATAGGTGTATTTATACAAAACTGAAACTATATATTCACTTTGGCTTGATATTGTAACAAATGCCTGTGCATTAATCTGTACAAATACTGCCAATTCTGACTTAACCTGTTTTCATCTCCAAATTTAAGAGGGGACAGTCTCACGTGATTCAGTAGATTTATTTGTACCTAGCTGATTGTGCTGTGCATTAACACCAGTGAAAGGAAGGAGGCGGCACGCCGCGCTTGTGAAACAGCCCATCTAAATGCTTGTAGTTAGTTTCGCAAGAGAAAAACAATAACTGCATATCAGCTCTCATTTTTACTTGCATATAGTGCTACTTGATTTGCTTGTAGAAATTTTTACCTGACAGCAAAGTGTTTTGCTGTATTCACATTGCCAATACTAAAAAATTGAAGACAGTGTAAGCAAAGATGGGGAAATTCTCTAGCTGAGACTGCATCTCTACTGCCAATATTTTTTAGCAAGCAAATTCTCAACGGAAAGTCCACTGCTTTGTAAATCTTCTTGGCATCCTGAAGATCTAAATTTCGAATTCGGTAGAGAGCGCCTTGCTTTCAGTTTATTCTTGAACTTGTTTGTTTTATGTTGTGGCACCATTTACTCCATGGTAGTTCCCTGCCGGAATAACTTAATTTTTCATTAGACACAGTCCTAAGCTTTTTACATGAAACAAAACATAATAAAATATAAGGTATGTGTTTGATCTAACCTGGCAGTCCACCATGACGAAAACCAGTTCAGGTAGTGTTCCTGCTTTTTGTCTTATGAATTCTCATACCCTAAGAATTCGTCCAAGGACCGTCGGAAGATCAGAATTGCGGCTAATGTCCCTTAAGAGGTGTGTCATGCATGTCTATAGTTTTTTGGCATGTACAAAATATTTGGCAAATTGCAAAACAAAAATTACTATTTTTCCTGAATGTACATTTTTTTATAAAGTTCAATTGTTGGCAATTAGAAGCAATATAGCCAGACCTTTTTCACTATTGTTACTGAATTTCTTTGTAACTTGATTAAATAATTCAGGAGCGTACGCATTGTGCAAGCTGTAAGATGTACCTATTCAAAACAAAACCGAACTGTCCTCTTGCGTATAAACCTTCAACTCTCAATAAGATCGTAGTGCACTATAGGAACTGTCATTCTTCTGGGATGAAAGTTCTGTTGTAAGAACTGACCAATACATCAGGGCAAAACTTCTGTGAACCTTGCAAAAAATCTGCTCCTGCCCGTTTGATTGCAACATCTGCCCCCGCCGCCCTAGAAAGAGAGAGTTTGTTGTGTGTGTACTTGTGATGACGGGGAGGTGGGCACGAACGCGTGGACTGCAGCCCGGAATACCTTTGGCGTGCACCGGGACGCGGACGCAATGAAACCCACGCTGCACGACCTCGGTGGAGATTGAAGGTTTTGGGACAAGGGGACATTGGCGGCGGCAAAAGACCACATGTGGTCGTCCATGATCTTGGGCTGGAGGCGGCAGAGAGGCCCGACACGATGTGCATCTCCCAAAGCATGCCCACCCGCCGCCGCATCCAGGAGCATGTAGCCACATCACGCCTACTTTGACGTCCTCTGATGTTGCGGCTCGACGGCTATTCATTCACGGCCTCGGCCATGGTGGCGCGATGATCCATTGGGCCACTTCGATCAAGGGTGGAGACTGGAGAGATCATCGGTGGTCGATAACGGCGAGGGCTGGTGGCAATGGATGGTGCTTGTTCAGTGCCGAGGGATGAAGGCGGCAAAAGGATGAATTCCCTTTTTCTCTGCCCCTCTCACGTTGCGTTGGGGAGAGAAGATGGGGGTGGAGGTAACGTTG